GGAGATGGTCGGAAGGTGAAGACAAAGAGAGAGAGAGAGAGAGAGAGAGAGACCTAAAGCCTAATGAATCAACAACAAAAATAAAAGGCAAAAGAACGACAGTAAAAAATGATTTACGAAAAATGTAGGATGGTGACAATAGTAAACATCTACAAATATAGATAGAGAGAATAATACTAGCAAGTGATAAACGTAAACGAGAGAGAAAGGAGAACGATTGGTCCAATACCAAACGACAAAAGAAATTCAGTACGACAATAAAACTTAAGATGAAAAAAAAAGTTGACAGAGCAACGACAATGAAAAACGGCAACAAAAACAGAGAACCAAATATAAATGAATACAACAAAAGAGAATAACAAACGGCAAAAGTAAAGAAAGAGGTGATCTACAGCAAAACCAAGAAACGACAACATTAGCAATAAAGGAGAATACCATCTAAACGACAAGATAATAAAAGGATAATAAACAATATTAGAGACAAACAAGTTCAAAACGCAAAGCATTAACAAACGCACAAAAAAATAAAAAAATAAAAAAAAAAATCAGAATATTGACAACATTGAAAACACAATGACATCGAACAAGTTCTTTTTTTAGTTGAGTGTAGGAGGTTTTTTTTTGGTTAATACTAGAAAAGATTTAAACTTTAAGCCCCGTTCTTTTCGCTGATTCGAATTTAGAATTCGAGTTTTGCTACAGTAAAAAGCTCTCATAAACAGTCACATTTGTTATAGTAAACAACTCTCACACAACATTACATCTCAACTTGAATTAAAAACTCGAATTAGCGAACTAAACGGTTTAATTATAAATAGATATAGAATTAACAGTAACTCGAGCTTGCAACCACAAAGTGACGTAAGTTCTAAATCAACAATAAAAGTCCAACTGTACAGTCCATAACAAAGTCTAGTGACAATAATAGAGTCAAACGACAAAACAAAATCCAATGATAATTAACGTTGAAAAGAAAAAAAGAAAAAATGACAACAGAATTATAAGAACAACAATGAAAAGGAGCTATAATTCCTACCTTCCTTTTACTTGAAAATCAATCTAGTACCCGAGTGGCAGCAAGAGAGTTTGGCTAAATTGCGTTTACACTCAAAACACTCCCAACCAACTACATTTTCCCGATTCATCTTTCTTTGTTTTCCGTTTTTATGATAAACATCATTATTCTTGGCGTACATTGGTGATAATGAAAAAAGGACAAGAACATAATGAAAATATAAAAAAAAGACTCGCAAAAAGAACAAAAAATATAAAACAACAATGAGAGTGAAAGACAAAAAAAGCGTCGACAGTAAGAGCAAAATACAAGGAAAACCAATTAAATCGAAGAAGAGAGAGAGAGAGAAAATAAGACTAGTAAACATCCATATAAATTGGTGACGACAATAATACAAGTAAACGACAAAAAAAGAAGAAAGGAAAACGACAACGCCAATGCAAAAAAAAAAAAAAAAAAAAGAAGCGAGAACGACTATGAAACTTCCCGACGATGAGAATTCCAAAATTAAAAAGTTTTTAGCACGCTTCCTCTAAATTTTTTGTGGTTCGATATTATTTTTCTAATTTTTTTGGAGTAGCAAGTGTCTACAACTGTTAGAAGGAGTTAGAACAGCCGAAATGAGAAAAGAACATTGGGTAAGGGTTAATTTTAATAATATCACTCTCAAATAAATGATTATTAATTTTAGCATCACTTTTGTATACTTTCACAACTAGTATTGTAATGTCAGCAATGTGAGGTAAAATGACTTTTATGCCACTTAAGTTAAAATTATCATTTAAAAGCACCTCAAAGAAATCTCAACTCTCTCCTGCCCATTCTCTCTCTCTACACCCCATTTCGGCTCACTCTCTAGTTTGGCATCTCTCTCTACTCGGTCTCTCTCTTCCCTACGCCCTCATTTCCTCGTCGTCAATACTCCGGTTGTGCACCAGATCGAGGTTGGTACACAATTTTTTTGCTTTTCTTTTATTTTTTTCTTTTTAAATTTATTTTTCGAGAGACTTAGTACATATAACTCGAAAAAAATGACTGGTTTGAACTTAATGTGATAGGAATTGATACTATCCTTCGTCAATTTGAGATTTTAGATGGTTTATAATTGATATGTAAACTGATTGTAACGACCACCACGCCAAAGACACAGTTGACCTTGGGAGTCAGAGTATTATGACTCATAGTGTTATATGTCTGGTCATAATATTATGACCAGTCGGTCATAACAGTACGAGTCATTATCTATGAGTCAAATTATAACAGTATAAATCATTGTCTATGAGTCAAATTATAACAGTATGAGTCAAAATGGCCGGTCATAGTCCGGTCATATTATTATGACCAGCCGTAAGGTAGTCATAGTGATATAACCGTCCAGTCATAATATTATGACTGAAATGACCCAACATACCACCAAATATGTACTTACTAATGTTTTCCACCTTTGTCCAGTCATATTTGACTTCTTCTTTCTTCAACTGTGGCCATGCAGATCTGATTGTGGAATTAAATAGATTGTCGGTAGTGGTGAAGTGCTTGTATGCAATTTCGGGGTAGTGCTTGCGCTTCTTTCTCAAATAATAAAATGCGACATCTATGTGCTGTGTATTACAAAGGGATACACAATATAAGCAACACTCAATATGATCAGCAACTACAAAATGAACTGATTCAGGTAACTTACATCATCCCACAACCATACTGCCGTAGTTGTGAACTTGTAGAACCATGACTTCTACATTACATGCATTATGCCCATGTCATATCCGACATCCCACTTGTCCACACGGCTCGTGTAATGGAAAGGACGGTTCCTGAAATTAATCACACCACACCGGCCATATATTAATATAGTTGAATGAAATAAAATACCTCAAAGATCACTATAATGGACTTACCCGGGACCAACACAAGCTCTTTTTAAGCCACTTCTTGAATACCACCAATGTTCCTGGTGCGAGGGGTTCTGAACTATATTCAGGAAGAGCCAAAATCCTGACATTCTTCAACGGCCCAGCCATCCTCCTCGTAACATCGCCCTTGTTAGGGCTTAATTCAATTAGGCGTTGAGTTGGCTTATGGGTCCTTGTTGGACGGCTCGGCTCATTCCTTTCTGTTTATACACAGTCATATAAGCCAACACAAACCAATAATGACTTAAGTCATAGCACTATGACTTTGGTTATGGACGATCATAGTGATATGACTTGTCAGTCATATTAGTATGACCACCCATAAGGAAGTCATGACCGCCCATAAGAAAGTCATATCGTGCCATTCATAGCACACAATGAATGCTTTATGGGCGGACGGTAATAGTATTATGACTCAATAGTCATAACAGTGTGACTGCCCATAAGGTAGGCATACTGTGCCAGTCAAGGCATGTGATGACTGCCTTATGGGCGGTCATAGTTTTATGATATATGACTGCACATAAGGCAGTGAAAAACACTCAATGAGACCCAACATGCAAACCAACATAAGAGATTACTAGCTTACCTTTATTCTCCTTTTTTTCCTTTTCCTTCTCCTTTTGCTCATCTTTCTTCTCATCCTCCTCATTTGCTTCTTCTTTTTTCTCCTTTATTTCTTCTTTCTCCATTTTCTTCCCCTCCTCCTTTGCTTCTTCGTTTTTCTCCGTTACTTCTTCGTTTTTCTCCTTTACTTCTTCTTCGTCTCCCTTTTCTCCCCCTCTTCCTCTTTTGCCTATTACACAACACACTAATTAGTATATTAATAACACAACATACTAGGCCAACAATCATCACAAATTACAAACATTCATTACCTTATCATCCTTCACAATAGGTGTGGATGCTTGAACACCCACATCGGCGATAACATCATCTTTGGAGAAGCAACTATAGGACTCGCCTTCAACCGTGGGGTTCACTTCCACCACATCAATGATATGGTACAACATGCCAAGGGCTTTATTAAGAAGAACTTCGTATCTTTGTTGGCCTTGTTCCAACATTGTTAACCTGTCTTTTACTAACTTCACCTCAACATACATTTTTTCTTCAAAATCATTCGAAGAAGAACTAGCCTTTCTTCTAGAGGGTTTGGCATATGTCTTTGTCTTAGGGATTGGCTCAGTGAGTGGCGCAGTCCTTTTTGCCACCACCCTCTTTTTCTCTTTTCTTCTAGGATACAAGCCGACTATGTCAGGATTTTGTAGTTCTTCTTCGGTGGGTGTCACCATATAAAAGACATGCTGCATAAAATGTGCGTAAATGAGTTATTAAACAAAAACGGTGAGTTATTAAAATGTAAGTACATCGAAGATGACTAAATGTGTATGATGGGCTTACCTTTCCGTGCTTGGTGCCAAGTGTAAAGACCCGCCTAACGTCATCGTATAACACCTGGTCTTTTCAAGACCACGAAAGCATTCTTGGAGTGTGCTCACCAAGATATGTAGTGAAATTCTTTCCGACTTTTGGAATGCTCTTGAAGGCCCAGACCAATAGTGCATGAGGGAAACCGATGAGATTGTAGTGCATTCCAGCTCTTTTTCCCTTGCTCTTAATCTTGTTCATTACCATAGACTTGATGGTATCTCTTGTCATCTCCCATGAAGGAATCCCCCAAAGGATAGTTGTTAAATGCTTCTACGTCGTTGACCAACTCAACGTAGGTCTCTAGAATTCTTATTGTTTTCGCATTGGAAAGTATAATGCTGGAAAGCACGTACAAAAGCCCTATCCTGACCGCATCATCGTCGCTGTCATATTTCGTGTTGGGGTCGGATAGTGTTTGCTCAATGGCTGGCCTCATGACGTACGATAGTTTTTTCCAGTACCGTTTGTGGATGCGGGATTTGGCAAATACAGGCTTCAAGTGTGTTGAACCAACATACTTAAGACCAGTGATGAGGGCATCCTCAGCTATGGAAAATCGCCCCAATAGCAAAGAATAAAGAGTCATATGTTTTCCCATCAACAGCGGCCAAGCGCATGATAACATTGTGGACAACTTCGCCAGGCCACCCAAGCTTCTGGAGGTTCTAAAAGTTCACTACGGTAGGTTGAAGTTCCAACTTTTCAAATTGAGTCCGTGTAAGAACCTACCGTAGTATTCCCATTGTTTCCTCACAGTTAACAATACAATTTATTTTACCGTTCTTGATGTCTTCGTTTGGAACCATTCTCATGAACTGTAATAATACTAATATGACCGGCCATACTAATATAAAAGCAAGGCAAGCAAAAAACACAGACAAAAAAATAGATCACATCTTATGGGCCGGTCATACTTAAATGACCGGACGGTCATAATATTATGACCGACTACAATGTTAGTAATTGTATAATATTACTGGTTCCACCATATAATGTTACGAGTTCCACCACAATGACAATTCAATGAAGCTCACAAATTTCAAATAATTGACCTTCTTAGTATCTGCTTTATCTTCATCCATAGGCATCTCTTCCTCCAAAGTCTTTTTTTCTTCTAAGATGACAAACATTGGTAAAAAAAAAAAAAAAAATACAAAAAAAAATAAAGCAAACAAAGTTGTTAACCAATGTACTATGACTGGCAAACTAAGAATCTGACAATTGTTCGGTCATAGTACTATGACTGACGGTCATAAGTGCTATGATTGCCGCACTAAGAGCCTGACAATTGTGCGGTCACATTATTATGACCGAGAGTCATAATGCTATGATCGCAGACTCATCAGTCAGACAATCATATTATGCGCCTGCCTGCCTAATGGGCGGTCATAGTAATTATGACCCTCGGTCATAATTGCTATGATCGCACGATGTACCTGTCTTATGACCGATCATAATAAAATTACTAAGCGGTCATAATGATATGACCGGCCATCAGGCAGAGTCACAGACCAAATAAGGAGAATAATGACAATCCAATGACCCCTAAAAATTTTAAATAACCGACCTTATCTACTTTTATCTCCTCCTCCAAAGCCTTTCTTTTCTTCAAAGATGACAAAAAATGGTAAAAAGAAAAAAACAATAAATACCTAAGAAAAAAAATAAATAAACAAGAAAAGGCAACAAAGTTTTCACTTTTGTCTCGGAATCTGCCATTGACCTCGTCTGTTTCGTGGCTAATTTCTCCGACGAAGAGGGGGAGGTTTCCTCGGTCCGTTCTTCTCTGACGAATAGGTTTAGGTGTTGATTTCTCCGGCGAAGGTTTATCAGTTCTCGTTGCGTGATTGCGTGGGTTCTCACTATTGTGGGTTTTCATTGTCATGGGTTCGTCGGTGCTCAAGGTGGTAGACGGGACGGTGGTAGACGGTGGTGGTTGTTGGGGTTTCTTGATCTCTGTGCACACCTGCGTTCGTTCTCCTCCTCCTCTCTCTACTTTCAATATTTGAATTAGAAAAGGCTTCATAATATATATTCAAGGCTTTAAAACTGAAATGGGGTAAAATTGTCATTTTAACTCAAGTAAAAGCGGTCTGGTCTCACTTTTATTGACATGACGATGCTAATTGTAAAAGTATACAAAAGTGGTGCTAAAATTAATAATCATTTACTTAGGAGTGCTATTATTGAAATTAACCCAACAATATTATGTGCAAATACTCTATACAATTTGAGCTTTCTGGCAAACTTTTTATAATTTTGAACGTACAATAATGGTCGTACTCCTCAATGAATCAATGAAATTTTCTTTTCTTTTGAATGTATTGACAGGTGAAGTGGGCAATATTTTCAAGACTAAAAAGTAAATGTCCGGTGATTGTGAACTGGATCCCGTATGACGATGACAGATACTACTATTATATATATTGAATTGAGAATGTAAATTCTTAATCCGTTTTTTTAATTTTTTTTGCTAAAGATTCTTATTTTTAGAATATTTGCAGTTTTACTAGTTGAAATTAGATACATGAAAAAAAAACCCCCCACGGGGGGCAGTTTTTATGTCGCACAAAAAAAAAAAAAACGTGTTTATGATATGCATGTGTAATATTAAATCCTTGTAAAATGGGAAAAAAGAAGTCTCGTAATAATATACATAATTACCTCGTGAGCAGCCTTCACATAAGTTAACTTAAGCAGACGGACGCGGACATGCCGTCAGGAATTCTAAGTGGAAGAACTAAAACAAACACACACTCTTGATCATAGCTTGGATGATAAAAGCTAAGCCTCCGTTTATTTCGCCGATTCGAGTTTAAAATTTGAGTTTTATTACAGTAAAAAGCTCTCAGAAACAGTCACATCTAATTTTTTTACTACAGTAAAAAATTCTCACACAAAATCACATCTCAACTCGAATTACAAACTCGAATCAGTGAAATGAACGGGCCCTAAATATAAAATAATCATTTGTTTCCAACTGCTATGCATATATTAGTTCTACATGCATGCTACAATAATAATGGATATGATCATGTTGTACTTGGAACTTTATATATAAACAGGTGATTATTATTGGCGTGATTTTTTGCAATTAAATTTTGTCATGTGACCACATATTATAAAGTTTCCTATATCATATATGGCAACATGAAATTGAATCTTAAGCTGCCATTGAAATCGGATTCTTTTAGTTCCAATTGTTGCACAAAAAAAGGGTTTAGTGTCTAAAGGTCCAAGAATTATAATCATGAACAATATTTATTACCGAGTATTGTTAGATGTAATTAACAAATCTAATGGTACGAGACTACGGAATACAAATAACAAACTTTCATAGAGAGGAGATAGCAGAAGGAAAGAGGTACATAGGGTACGTTTAATTTTTTTAAGAATTTGGAGCCAGAATCAGCCCTTGTGCGGCAATCTTTTGTGCCACATTAATAAAATTTTCATTATTACCCATATTACCCTTGCTGAATGAAAAGAATCCCGTTCCCAAAATTTTGTTGCTCTTCGCGGTCCTCCTTCTCTCCTCTCTCAGATTTCTTTGGCTCTTTCGTGCTCTCTCTCTCCGTTTCTCTCTCTTCTCTCTCACTGTTCTCTCGGTCTCCCTCTCTCCGTTTCCGAGTTGCTCCTACGATTGTCGGATTGGCGGACTCTCTCCTCTCTCTCTGTTCTCTCGGTCTCCCTCTCTCCGTTTCCGAGTTGCTCTTACGATTGTCGGATTGGCGGACTCTCTCCTCTCTCTCTGTTCTCTCGGTGAGATTGGGTTTCTTCTCGTTAGGGTTTTCTGATTTCGTCGTTGGATTGTGGGATTGCCGGTTGGAGCTCATTAGATCAATAGCCTCTGTAAGTACATGATTGATCTTCGTAATGATCTCGATTTGGTTATGTTTTCTCTAGATTGATGGATTTTGGCCTTTTTTTTTTCTCTGCTCTGTATTTGGGATGTTTTGACCGGAATTTGAAGAATGACTCTCGGTTATGAATTTGGTTTGATCTTCGTTTGTCTCGATTTAGTTATGTTTTCTCACGATTTGGAAGATTTTGGCCCTTTTTTTTTTGTTTTTTTTTTCTCTGCTCTGTATTTGGGTTGTTTTGACCGGAATTTTCTAAATTCCTCTAGGTTATGAATTTGGTTTGACCGGAAACATAGGTATACTCTTGCTTCCATCTTTACTTATATTACCCTGATTTTTGTGACTATTCTGAATTCGTTCTGTTTCTTTCTTTCTCTCTCTCTGTTTTTTTTTTTACACTTTGAATCTTAGTCTTGATTAAACAAATGTCCAGGTTTTGTCATTGACCATAATGAGGCTTCATGTCTCACTGGTCCTTCAGGCTGTCCAGTCATAGCAAAGCTACTAGTTCAACATAGAGGACTGAAATATAAGAGAAACGTTTCACCTAGTAGCAAGTATTCATCACAGTGAACAAGAACAGTGATCAATTTTCATCACTGTGTTGCTCAACACCAATGACATAGCATTAGGAAAAAAAACATATGGAGTCGAGTGAATTCATCAGCTAACAGATAAAGTATGCAGTATGATAATTCATTTGTATCATCATTTTCAAGTGAAAACCTCAACTAATAGAATACAGCAGGTAACTATGTTGACATTGTCATTGCTAAGTCATGGAGAAAACTGAAAAGGGAGTAACACTTAAGTACGTTTTAATTGTTAAGGTCAACTTTCTTGGTTTTCAAATTGAGTGTGAATGTTAGTTAGGAAGGACCTCGATAGAAAATTTAGAGTTGTTTACTACTAGATGTTTGTTAGTCCTGTATTTTTTAAGGTAGGGGAAGAAAGAAAAGAGATTCCCGTTTGTATATATTGTTTTCTTTCTGTTCAGGTTGTTATGAATTTGGTGTTTGTTATTTCTAGTTGGAGCTTTCATAATAATTAATTACTAGTGAGATTGAATCCTATTTTTTCGGATTTAAAAAGAATCCCTTATGACATCTTAATTTTCCCATCTCTCCAAGGGTAGAAGCGTACTCTTTTTAAAACAATATATATATATAAAGAAATAAAGAATAAAATAAAATCAATAGTTTTGCTTCAGAGTTGACAAGCCTTGCCTTTGGCAACACCTCAGGGTAACTACACCACAATCTGCTCTACGAGCCTTGTATCACTCCAACTCACTCGCTTTCTCTATTGTATACTCTTTCTCTAGATTAAATACTTTCTCTCTTGCTATTTTTTTTTTTTTTTTTTTATCTCTTCTCCTATTATATGGAGGACAACGGGGAAAAGAGTGAAAGTTCTTTTCTCAAAGAGACTAGAGAGAGAAAGTTCTTTTTCTGTGTAAGTGAGGAGAACAAATCATCGAGATCTTAGTCGTTGGTCTTCATGCACCCATACTTTTTTTTTTTGGGTCTGAAACTCATTACTCATACTTCTCTCTTTTTGTTTGCCCTCTTGTTTTGTTCCTCTAATGGATGAAGTGACTAAATACACAATTTTGTTTTTTATCCTTACCTTGGCCTGCCAAAATTGGCATCTTGAGGGTAAACTAGGGCCTAAGGATTGGCTTATTGTGTTTGGTGTGGATTCAGTAGGATTTTGCGCTGAGCTACACTTGCTCTTTGGAAAGATTGGGATCTGTTTGAGGTGGGAGGGAAATCAAATATGTTTTCAAAGGGTAACTCATCTTGTGTATCAGTTGACATAGGTTGTTTTCATCTTTTATCACATTGCCACTTTGTTGTTTTTGGCCTTATAGATGAGTATGGGCATGAGGGGATTAGATGGATTGTTTCTCTTTCTTGCAACCTTGATCACATATTCATGAAAATAGATTGGGTCTTATTGACCATGAAACTAATTTGGTGTTTCCTTTTGTGTTTTATCATTTTTTTTTTTTTTGAATTCTCACTAATCATGTAAGTATTTCAACAACTCATCCAAGTTCCGCCAGAGAGATGGCCGTTACAATAGGTACTGACTCACGTGCGCAACCTTTGATGATCTCTCCAACAGTTGATCGTTGGAGTTTCAACAGACAGATAGCCCTTATCTGATATTCATTTTAAAACCATAGTTTACTATCAAGATAAAAAATAAATAAAATAATCAAACCATACAAATTTGTAGAACAAATGTCCTAAGACATTTTAATTTTTGTATTCTTATATAGTCGTAAATCAATGTTCATGTGGAATAAAATATTGATGTTTCAAAAATAAGCCTTTGTAATAGTGACATATAGGGAGCGTTTGGTATGGGGTAATCACAGGGGTGGGAATGAGAATCTTTTAGATTCCCATGTTTGGTACAATTATTAGACTTTTTTAAAACCTAGAAAAGTGAAGCTTATGGGTTTTACATTACCACATTTTGGAGTAATTCTAAACCCACCCAATAGGGTGTTATTTACTTTCCCAGGAAAGTAATATTTACGGGAAACAATTTGCCCTACCATTTCTCTCACCCACCCATCTCACCCGTCTCTCCCTCTTGTCCAGACCCAACCTCTCTCTCGTCCAGACCCAGTCTCTCTCTCGTCCAGACCCAACACCGCTTCCATCTAGGACGCCGTCGCCGCCTTCTGATCAACCACGCCATTGCCAGACTTTTCTCTGTCGCCACCACCAGAGTATGATTCCTTTTTTTCTCCTTTTTCTGTGAAAATTTTTTGACCTGAACTTTCCGATTTGTGTTAATTTTTTATTTGAACTTGAAAATCTCACTGGGATTGAACCAGAACGTCGTCGGCATCCGCGCATCTGGGTTTGAACCAGAACTTGAAAATTTTTTCTGTTAAATTGCATCTGGGTTTGAACCAGAACGGCCATGATTTTTTCATCCTTTTTTGTCCCTTGCTATTTCTCCCCATCGATTGCATAGATTGCTATTTCTCCCCATCGGCGCATCTGGGTTTGAACCAGAACTTGAAAATCAACACAATCCTTTTTTGTTTTCCTCCCCATCGATTTTTTGTCCCTGGCTATTTCTCTTTACCTCCACGACTAAAAAGTCTGGCGATGGGTTTTTCTTTCTTTTAAGGAATTCCGGGAATCTGGAGATAGCTATTGGATTAAAATAAAAGTACTACTTTTAATGCTACATGGATATTCTAGATGTTACATATACGTAAACATATATATATATATATATATTAAGGATATTAATCTAGCTGTTGACACATGGTCAATTTCTCACGCCTAATGTATTTTTATGATAAGTCGATGTGTTTTCTAAGATTTTGGAGTGTGCATGTTCTTTTTATTAATTTTTTTTCTGTTAATTATCAACTTGTTTTATTGGTAAATGGGATTCTATTGAAGAACAAGCTAGTAGCTACAAAGCAAAAGGTTTAAAAACCAAATGAAAATTAATCAACAGAACATGAGAAGTATGCTTATGGTTCAAAGCTAGCACTATTGAAATATGAGACGTATGCTTATGCTTATGGTTGGGCCCTGCCGATAGTGGCTTTGGTTGGAATGATAAGGATAAATGCGTTGTAGTTGAGAAAGATGTGTTTGATGAGTGGGTTAAGGTTAGTATTTTTTTATCCGGTTAAATTTCAAGTTTCAGTATTATTAGGCTCTTTTATTGTTTAATTTACATTCCATATCTATTACAGTCACCTAATTGCGAAAGGCTTAAGAAACAAGCCATTTCCGTATTATGACGAGTTAGGACTAGTGTTTGGAAAGGATTGTGCTAATGGACAAAGTGCAATAGGATTGACTGATATGGTTGATGACATTGATAAAGAAACAGAAAATGATCTTGATTATGATCCCTTGCTTATGTCTGATGAGAACATGGATACTGCAAGTATTGGTGGTCCTAGCATACAAACAACTTCAAAACCATTAGCATCAGGAACGAAAAAGAGAGAGATCTCAATGTGGAGATGTATTGGTTGATGTTTTAACTGAGACAGTACATAAGTTTTTTGATATGTATGCTATGGCTGGTGAGAATATTGATAGGCTTGCTAATTATTTTCAATACGAGGCTGATAGTGCTGCAAGGAGGATGCAGGTGTTTGATGAAGTGAAGAAGGTAGAAGGACTAACAAATGCACGAGTACGAGTCGGAAAACTTCTTGTCCAAAACCATGACTACACCAACTATTTCTTCACGTTGGATGATGAATTTAAGTTAGATTTTCTTCTATCTCTTTTGGAATGAGTGGTTGAAGATTTTGGTGCTATATTTACAAACTTGAGTACATTGTCTAATATTTAGATCTTTTGATGGCATCTTTGGAGTCCTCTCAGGGAACTCGTTAGTGAGATTAATAAAAGGAAGTTGACCAATTTTCAAGCAATTTCTTTGGTTACTCTACTGTGGCATTACCCGAGTGTGCAGGAACTTAATAGCACTGCCAAATAAAACTCAATTAAGGAATATCAATACGGTATCAAAAAAACTTCTAAAACCCAATCATGAACCAATCATTAATCAGAGAGTACTTTTTTTCTTTTCTTTCTCCCCATCTTTAACTTCCCAGAACTAGGTGTGATCTATAACTTTTCTATTGAATTGGCTAGTAAAGAAAATGATATCAACCCTGTAAGGGCCCGAGTCCCTCCTGTCAAGTTCGTTTACTCTAGGAGGGGTAAGAAGGGAATATCCAATTCTCAAGGGGAGGTTGAGTGACCTGGCAGTGCATGGGGATTCGTTACGAGCCCTACTGCCCGTTACGAGTTAGTTTCGCATGGGGATTGATGGGGAGGCGAACGAATATATAGGAGAGTTAGGGGTAGAGAGGGATATTGACAATTTGTTGCTGAGTCTTAGTTGGGAGGCAGAGGAACCTCGAATTCCTCCTATATGTATTTCCTTATTTTGTATTTCCCTTGATTTGATCGAATTCAATAACAAGAAATAGCCCAGAAGTTTCTGGTGTTCTAACAGTTGGTATCAGAGCCACCGATTCTATGGTGATCGCCTCCCACGACCCGCGCACGGCAGATCGAGTCTCCGCGGTGGAGCAGCAGATGGAAGACATCTAGGACACTCTTGAAATAGTTGGAGCCACGACTAATCGCGTTCCCCAGCTGCAGGAGGACGTCACACGGCTGGGAACTAGGGTAGGGGAGTTGCAAGGATCGATGCAACGAATCGAGGAGTTGTTGCAGATGCAACGAATCGAGGAGTTGTTGCAAAGGTAGGCTCGACTTCTAGACGGGAGCCCAGATTGGACACCACCGAGGCGGGAACCAGAAAGAGGCTGAGTGGCTCCACGAGAAGGCATTTCGTTCCGACGACGGGAAGGGGTGGGGGCACCACGGCAGGTCTGGCCGGGACGACTGAGGGGACGCAGAGATTTCCGCGGGAAGAAGCTAGAACTTCCAGTCTTCCAAGGAGAAGACCCTCACGGTTGGGTCTTTCGAGCTGAGCGCTACTTTGTTGTGAATGCCATTGAGGACGAGGAACGGATCTTGGCTGCATCTGTGTGCATGGAAGGAAGGGCCCTGGGATGGTTCCAGTGGGTGGATGCTCAGGAGCCTTTTACTAGTTGGAGGGAACTTCGGACGGCCATCATCCAGCGTTTCAGTCACGCCCGTGAAGGTGACCCAACGGAGAGGTTGATGGCACTCCGGCAAACCGGAGGAGTAGCAGAATACCGAGATACGTTTGAGGCACTCGCTGCCTCCATGAGAGGTGTGTTTGAGCCCATCTTCAAAGGGGCTTTCCTGAATGGGTTACGTGAGGACATCCGGGCAGAGGTGAGGATGCATCGGCCCATTAACTTGCTGGAAGCAATGGACCTGGCCCAACAAGTGGAGGACCGTTTGGATGCAGTAGATCGAGTAAGGAGGAGCAAAGTTGGGCAGGTCCCCAGACCCGAATATCTGGGACGACCCGGTACAAACCCTTACAGCCCATACCATGCCCTAGATTCAAGAGACAACTCCCTTCAATCCTAATCTAGTCGAGACCAAACACCCACCAAAAGGGGTTCACGGCGGCGGCCACGAAAACTCCACACATCACCGGCGGTGAAACTGGATTCCGACGTTTGACCTTCGACGAGGTTCAGCAACGCAAGGCACGTGGACTCTGCTTCAGGTGCGACGAGAAATACAGCCCAGGACACCGTTGCAAGAGTCGTACTCTACAAGTGTTGATGCTAGCGGACGATGACTCTGAGGGGGAAGGACAAGAGGAGCCAGCTTTAGAAGAGGTGCACGATCCAGTGGGCTCGGTGGCTGTGGAAATGGCCGCTCTGTCGCTCAACTCTGTCAACGGGTGCTTGTCGGCGAAGACGATGAAGGTTAAGGGAACAGTCCAGGGACGGGAGGTCGTCATTCTCGTGGATAGCGGCGCGTCGCACAGTTTTATCTCATCCTCGCTGGTGAAGGAAATGGACTTACCACGGGATTTGACGGTCCGACACCAGATTCAGGTCGGAAATGGAATGATTTTTCGACAAGAGGGAGTTTGCCGAGCGGTGCAAGTAATGATTCAGGGACGTAAAGTGGTTGAGAATTTCTTTTCCTTCGATTTGGGAAACATGGACCTAGTGCTCGGAGTCACGTGGCTCCGAACACTAGGGGAGGTTAGGGCTGATTGGACTCGCTTCACGTTGAAGTTTAGGGAGGGAGGTCAATGGGTATGCCTACAAGGCGATCCCGCACTTTGCTGCACTAAGGTTGGGGTACGCTCTATTTTTCGATCCTTACTCTGTGAACAGTCTGGGGTATTACTCGAAATTAGGTTGGTGTCCAACGAGGAACGAGACCTCTTGGCCGATCTAGCTCCGCCAGAGTTGGCTGAAGTTCTTGATCAATTCCAGTCGGTTTTTGAGCTGCCCGAGGGCCTTCCACCGCGCCGAGCATGTGATCACCATATCGTGTTGCGAGCGGGAGCTTCCCCCCCTAATATTCGGCCCTATAGGTACCCCTAAGGCCGGCAATATGGGTTACGACACGACAACACGACTCGAAAACGACACGAATTTTATGGGTTAGGGTTGAGAAAAAAGAGGTTCGGGTCAGAATTGGGTCGACCTGAAATTGATACGAAAAATACGGGTCAATTTCGGGTTGGACCCGCCTAACCCGAACATGACACGAAACTCGTAAAAAACTAAAAAATACATATTTTTCATTTCATATTTTAAATTTTATTATGAACTTGTGATATCATGGTTATACTCAAAATCTTATACTATTATTTGCTTAATTTCAATGGATGTTATTGTAATTTAGTGTGTTATGAATTTTAAGTTATTTCTAATATGTAAATAACTAAATAAAAGTATACAATTTTCGTGTTAATTTCGGGTTCACGGGTCAATTTTGTGTTACGGGTCATTTTCGGGTCGTGTCGTGTCAACTCGTAAAGTGGTCGTGTCGTGTTCGTGTTGCGATTTTTAAAAAATTTCGTGTCACGGGTCGTGTTCGGGTTGACTGTAAATTAAAAAAAAAAGATCAAAACACGACACGTGACACGAATTGCCACCCCTAGGTACCCCCACTACCAAAAGGAAGAAATCGAGCGACTGGTGGGCGAAATGCTTGTGTCGGGGTAATTCGGCCGAGTACCAGCCCGTTCTCGAGACCTGTTCTGCTGGTTAAAAAAAAGGACGGCAGTTGGAGGTTCTGCGTGGACTACCGGGTATTGAATCAGCTGAGAGTTCCAGATAAGTACCCCATCCCTATAATCAATGAGCTGCTGGACGAACTTCATAGGGCTTGCGTCTTCTCCAAGCTTGACCTTCGCGCGGGGTACCACCAGATCAGAGTGCGGGAAGAAGATGTGGAGAAGACTGCGTTTTGGACCCACGAAGGGCACTACGAGTTCCTCGTTATGCCCTTTGGGCTCATCAACGCCCCCGCCACGTTTCAATCCCTGATGAACACGATATTCCGACCTTTTCTGCGTAAATTTGTATTAGTTTTCTTTGACGATATTCTTATTTACAGTAGAACCCAGGCGGAGCACATTTGGCACTTGGAGCTGGTCCTACAGGTGTTGCAGGGAGAACGGCTCTATGCCAATCACAAGAAGTGCACCTTCGGAAGTGCCCAAGTAGATTACCTTGGCCACGTTATCTTTAACGAGGGAGTTTCGGCTGACCCTTCAAAGGCACACGCCATTACTTCCTGCCCGACCCCACGGTTAGTTCGAGAGCTTCGCGGATTTCTGGGGTTGACCGGCTATTACTGCCGATTCGTGGACGGTTATGGCGTGCTCGCTCGACCATTGACAAAAAAAAGGAGCTTACCAGTGGACTCTACTTGCCGAGGAAGCATTCTAGCAGCTGAAGGCCTTGATGGCAAACCTCCTGGTTTTAGCTTTGCCAGATTTTGGAAAGAACTTTGTTTTGGAGACAGACGCATCTGGAAGTGGAGTGGGGGCAGTGCTTATGCAAGAGGGTCGACCTATAGCCTATTTCAGCAAAGGGCTATCCCCCTCTGCCCGTTGGAAATCTGTATGAGCGGGAGTTGCTAGCCATTGTCCTCGCGGTTCAAAAGTGGCGACACTACCTCCTAGGACGACATTTCATTATCTGGACCAATCAACAGAGCCTTCGCCATCTCATGGACCAGCGCGTCTTGCCCGACGATCAGCTTCGGTTGGTCACCAAGCTCTTCAGATATGATTTCGAGGTTCAATACAAACCTGGGGCAGCTAATCGAGTCGCTGATGCTCTGTCTCGATGGGAAGAGGTCGACCTAACTGTTCTCAGCGCGTTATCCATTCCTCAACAGTTGGACATCGATGCCATTCGCATGGAACAACTTAAGGATCCTCATTGTGCAGCTGTGATGGCCAAGCTGCGCTCGGACACGGGGGCAGTCCCTGGTTACAGCGTCCAGAACGACTTGCTTCTGTTTAAAACTCAGCTTGTTATCCCTGCTTCCTCTTCATGGGTGCCTCGGCTCCTCCATGAACACCATGATTCAGTCATTGGGGGACACTCGGGGTTCCTCCGCACCTACAAGCACCTGGCAGGAGTAGTCTTTTGGAAGGGCATGAAAAAGGAGGTTCGGGATTATGTTGCACAGTGTGTAACCTGCCAGCAATGCAAGACGGACGCTCTCTCTCCGGCCGGGTTGCTAAACCCATTGCCTGTGCCGCAGCAAATCTGGGAGGATATATCCATGGACTTTATTAGTGGCCTAACCAAGTCAAGGGGGTTTGACACTATCCTAGTAGGCGTGGACTGCCTGTCTAAATACGCTCACTTCTGCGCCCTCGCACACCCGTTCACAACTAAGCAGGTTGCCGAGCTTTTTGTCAAGGAGATCATCCGCTTGCATGGAGTACCCACATCTATCGTAAGCGATCGCGACCTACTTTTTATGAGCTTATTCTGGCAGGAAATATTTCGGTTACAGGGTACAAACTACATACTAGCTCTGCCTATCATCTGCAGTCCGATGGACAAACGGAGGTCACCAATTGCTGCCTGGAGTCGTACCTGAGGTGTTTCGCTAATGACAAACCGCGACAGTAGCAGTTTTTCCTTCCCTGGGCCGAATATTGGTTCAACACAACGTATAGCGCTTCAACAAAGTACACCCCTTCGTGGTGTATGGGCGGCACCCACCTACTCTACACCGTTACCAAGAGGGCTCTACGGTGGTGCAAGGGGTTGAAGAGCAGCTGCAGATCCGTAACCAGACGTTGGACCTCCTAAAAGATCACCTTGCGTTGGCCCAGCAACAAATGAAGCGTTATGCAGATCGACACCGTCGGGACGTCACTTTTACCATTGGGGATCTTGTGTTGTTGCGGCTACGCCCTTATTTCATGAAGTCTTTAGCCCGTCGAGCAAATGAGAAACTAAGTCCACGCTTCTACGGCCTGTTCCCAGTGATGGATAGAGTTGGCCCGGTCACCTACCGCATTAAGTTACCCCCGACAGCCAAGATCCACCCGGTGTTCCACGTTTCTCAGTTGAAGCCCTTTAGGGGACTCGCCGGTTCAGGCCAGCCGTTGCCTCCTACCTTATCAGATGAGTTATGGATCACATCTAGTTCTGGGAAGTTAAAGATGGGGAGAAAGAAAAGAAAAAAAGTACTTTCTGAATGATTGGGTTTTAGAAGTTTTTTTGATACTGTATTGATATTCCTTAATTGAGTTTTATTTGGCGGTGTTGTTAGGTTCCTGCACATTCGAGTAATGCCACAGTGGAGTAACCAAAGAAATTACTTGAAAATGGGTCAACTTCCTTTTATTAATCTCACTAACGAGTTCCCTGAGAAAAGGATTCCTTTCTTAGGGAAGATACAGAAGGAAATAGAAAAGGAAAAGAACAAGTGGGGAATTTGAGGTTCCCCTGCCTCCAATGGTCTACTAACAGAAATGACTCAATTCACAGACACCTCTCTCACCCCTCTCTAGTGTCTAAATACCTCCTTGTTAACTTGACACATTAGCACCCATTTTCCAAACGACAGTCCCAAAACACAGAAAATGAAGCACGAGCTAATTAAACAGCACCCTAGGGAGCGTTTGGTATGGGGTAATCACAGGGGTGGGATGAGAATCTTTTAGATTCCCATGTTTGGTACAATTATTAGACTTTTTTCTTGCCATTATTTTCTTGCCGCCGTTCGTTGTCCTTCCACCATATAAAGTTAGTACGACCCAAACGTGCAGAGGAATCATATTGTCGCCCGTAGCTCAGCGTCTTGGGTTTTTCTCTACCTTCTCTTCGTAATGCAATTAATTTATCACTTCATTTTAGGTTTGCTAGATCTCCCTCTCATTGTACATTTACGCTATACATCTCGAAGATAATTGATAGATATGTGTATTTATTTTCAGTTTCATCTAAATTTATATGGCAATATACACTAGGGTTTTATATTCCGAGTTCCCAAATTATACAAGAAATCATACTAAGATATTTTTGAATCATGCTCGTCAGTTTGGGGCAATCGATTCCCTAATCTTGTTGATGTTTTGTATGCCGCCGATAATGAGCACTCGGAATTCTTTCTCGTCGTCATTTGTTTCATTTACCGTTATTACTATTTGCTCTAAATTAACTACCACGAATTTTTGTTGTGAATTGGAATATTATTGAAAGGTAGTTCGAATTTCTGTTATTTCATCGTGAGTTTTGTAACCTATTGAATGCTAAATCTTTTGCTTATTTTGCAATTTTCTCTGAATGTTTACCTTCCTTGATGTATTTTGGTAATTTCTAGAGATTTGATCAAACTTGTTGATGTTTGTATCTTTTCGTTCTTTTGGTTTTTGGTACCTGGGAATTTTATTGGTGCAACTGATGTTATTTGCTTATTGAATCAGATGGAAGGGGGGGAAAGTATACTGGATGCCTTAAACGAAGAGGATAACTTTGAATATGATGAAGACATTGAAATGGTTGATGTTGAAGAAGGGGAGTTAGTGGAGGAGAATTTGCGAAATGATTTGGGTCAAAGCAATGCTGGTGAAGTCAATGTAAATAATCAAGAATCCCAAAGTAAAAATCGCAAGCGGAGGGCGAACAAGAAGAAGAACAAGCGAAAGAGGAGCGGCCCAGATCCCAATGTCACGGACATAAACAGGTCAGCTCTTAGATTGTATTATTAAATTTGAGTGCTCGGTTTTTATTACTAAAGTCGTCCATTCAAGGTCTAAAGTTAAGAAATGGTGCAATTGAATCTCCACATGTTTTGAGGAGTTACATTAATTAGAATGTTTTAGGAGCTCTTCTTGTGTATGACACGTTTTAAGTTTGGTCCTTTGCAGATTTGTGTTAGATACATGCAGACGACTTAAAGAGAAGAAATCATACATGGTTTATACTGCTGTTGGATGTTTGGGAATTTCTGCATTATGTGACCTCATCAAGGAGGTATCAAATTCTGTCCTCAAAATACACCTTTTGATTTATACGACATGTAATGCTACTGGTTGTGTTGCTGTCATTTTCGTTTTGTTCTTTAAATAACACATTTTGATGGTTCTTTTTGGAATCGGGACTTGTCATATGTATGTGATGTAGTCATGTGTTAATGTGTCTTTTCTCAAGATGATAATGTCTACCCACCTTTCCAACTTCAATGTCTTGTTGAATAGCCTTCGATTATTGCTGAACTGATCTTTTTAGCGGGTGCATGGACTGTGGACTTTGAACTGCATCTTTTGATCAGGTTGATTTTACGAATTGATCCATCTCTCTGATCCTTGATCATCATTTAACTTCCTCTTTTCCGTTTTTTCTCTTTGGTTCGGGTGAGAGGTATATGTTTGACTTACCCCTTCCAAATTTCCAATTAAAGGTGACAAACTGGTTGTGCTTGATGTTGGACCAGCCTAGGAGATGAAAATGCTTATCCACTCAAATTAACTGTCCAGCTTTCCTAATTTCTGATGTTCAATGATTTTTCCCAACACTTGCAGATTTATCTTGTAGAAGCAAAACCTATTTGCTCCTTCAAGTCGTGTGCTATGAGCTCTGATGTTCCCTGGCTGAATCTTCACCGTTTGCTGTTTCTGTGGGTTGATATCATTTTCTTTACTAGCCAATTCCGTAGAAAAGTTATAGATCACACCTAGTTCTGGGAAGTTAAAGATGGGGAGAAAGAAAAGAAAAAAAGTATTTTTTGATTAATGATTGGTTCATGATTGGGTTTTAGAAGTTTTTTTGATACCATATTGATATTCCTTAATTGAGTTTTATTTGGCGGTGCTGTTAGGTTCCTGCACACTCGGGTAATGCCACAGTAGAGTAACCAAAGAAATTGCTTGAAAATGGGTCAACTTCCTTTTATTAATCTCACTAACGAGTTCCTTGAGAGAAGGATTCCTTTCTTAGGGAAGATACATAAGGAAATAGAAAAGGAAAAGAACAAGTGGGGAATTCGAGGTTCCCCTGCCTCCAATGGTCTGCTAACAGAAATGACTCAATTCACAGACACCTCTCTCACCCCTCCTCTAGTGTCTAAATACCTCCTTGCTAACTTGACACATCAGCACCCATTTTCCAAATGACAGTCCCAAAACACAGAAAATGAAGCACGAGCTAATTAAATAGCCCTAGGGAGCGTTTGTTATGGGGTAATCACAGGGGTGGGATGAGAATCTTTTAGATTCCCATGTTTGGTATAATTATTAGACTTTTTTCTTGCCATTATTTTCTTGCCGCCGTTCGTTGTCCTTCCACCATATAAAGTTAGTACGACCCAAACGTTCAGAGGAATCATATTGTCGCCCGTAGCTCAGCAACGGGCTCCCAAGTGGATCCCCAATCCAGCAGGCCTTGCCACTTAATCAACACCTCTGGTTCCTCGCGACCCCCCACCATCACCACCCGAGAGGCCAACACTTCTGCTGGAAGGACACATAGCTCTAGATCTTCTGACAACTGAGCAGGGAGAGGTTGGACCTTAGCTGCAGCCCCCTTAAAGGACTTCAGCTGAGACACGTGGAAGACCGGGTGTATGCGAGTATTGTCAGGCAGCCTCAAGCGCCATTGGTCCAATGCTTTCTAGCACTTTGAAGGGCCCATAGAAGCGCGAGATGAGTTTCTCATTGACGCAGCGAGCCAAGGATTTCAACCTGTAGGGCCGCAGTTTGAGCATGACCATCTCACTTATCTCGAAGCTTAACTCTCTCTTATGATTATCGATGAACTTCTTCATGCGTTGCTGAGCCAATAACAAGTGGGATTTTTGATCTAGCATGGCATTACCCAGGGTGATCTGGTCCTCCACCGCTGCAACCGTGCCAGGAGAGTCTTGGAAACGGTTGAGAGCCGGGGGATCACGACCATACACAATGCGGAAGGGGGTGAACTTGGTGGAAGCATTAAAGGTCGTGTTAAACCAATATTCCGCCCACGGAAAGAATGCTGACCACTGCCTAGGCTTATCACCTGCGAAACAGCGCAAATATGTTTCTAAGCAACGATTTACTACCTCGGTTTGCCCATCCAATTCGGGGTGGTAGGCCGAACTCATGTGCAGCTTAGTGCCCTATAACTTGAACAGCTCTCGCCAAAAATCGCTCATGAACACGGCGTCCTGATCACTCACAATGGACCGTGGAATTCCGTGGAGCCTGACAATGGCGAAAATGAATAAGGCGGCCACCTACTTGGCTGAGAATGGATGGGCCAAGGGACAAAAACGGGCGTACTTTGACAAGCGGTCCACCACTACCAGAATGGTGTCAAACCCTCCGGACTTGGGAAGACCCCTAACAAAATCCATGGAAACGTCGTCCCAAACTTGGGTGAGGATCGGTAGGGGCTGCAAGAGGCCGGCTGGAGATAGTGCCTCTGTCTTGTTTCTCTGGCATATCTCACAATTAGCCACATACTCCCGGATATAGCGCTTTATACCTCGCCAAAAAACTACCGCGGACAGCCGTTTGTAGGTGCGGACAAAGCACGAATGCCCACCAATGACCGAGTCATGGAACTCGTGGACAAGCCGAGCTATCCAAGGGGAGCTATCCACCAAAACCAGCCTATCTTTGTAAAACATCAGTCCGTTCTTCAGCGCATACCCCTCCACAACCTCCCTTTTTTCAAGTTTCGATATGATGGCCACCTAAACCGGTTCTGTACTTTGCTCCAACTATATGGCAGCAAAATCCCACGTGTGTGGTATTGTAAAAGCAGCGAGGGAAACCTCAGCCCAGTCTCCCCTGCGGGACAGTGCATCGGCGACGCGGTTGGAAGCCCCCAACTTATACTGCACCTCTAAATTGTAACCCAACAATTTATACACCCGGGCGAAGCTGCTAGGGAGGAAGTTGGTGCTGATTCATCAGGAACCGCAAGTTTTGTTGGTTAGTGCGGACCACAAAGTGACGACCTAAAAGATAATGTTGCCATTTCTGAACTGCTAGAACCACCCCCATGAGTTCCCTCCCATACACAGACTTCAATCGGGAAGGAGTGAGAGCTTTACTGAAAAAAGTGATGGGTCTGACCTCTTGCATTAACACCGCCCCCAGCCCACTGCCCGAAGCATCAGTCTCGACAACGAACTGCTTCGAGAAGTCTGGCATGGCCAGAACCGGAATTCAAGTCATGGCCAACTTGAGCTCGTCAAATGCTCGGCCTGCTTCCTCCGTCCAGACAAATCCCTTCTTCTTAAGCAGCTCCGTTAGTGGCCGTGCGATCGTCCCATAGCCCTTGACAAACCGCCTGTAGTAACCGGTGAGCCCCAAGAATCCTCGCATCTCCTGGGCGTTGGGCCAAGAGGCAATTGCTTGAATTTTGGAAGGGTCGGCAGCCACTCCACGAGCTAAAATGATGTGGCCCAAGTATTCTAATTGGGGTTGGCCAAAACAACATTTTTTTTTATTGGCAAATAACTGTTCGCGCTGCAAAACTTGAAGGACCACGGAGAGGTGTTGGCGGTGTTCCTCCCACGAGCGGCTGTACACCAAAATGTTGTCGAAGAACACAACAAACTTCCGAAGATATTGACGGAAGATTCTAATCATGAGGGCTTGGAAAGTGGGCGGGGCGTTCGTCAAGCCGAAGGGCATGCCAAGAAACTCATAGTGGCCCTCATGCGTACGAAAAGCCGTCTTCTCAATGTCGGCCTCATGCACCCTGATTTAGTGGTACCCTACTCGCAAGTCCAATTTTGAAAATACTACCGCCCCGTGGAGTTCATCGAGCAATTCGTCGATCATTGGAATCGGAAGCTTGTCAGGGATCGTGACTTGGTTCAGCATGCGATAATCTACACAGAAATGCCAGCTTCTGTCTTTCTTCTTGACTAAGAGGACTGGACTGGAGTAAGGGCTGCTACTTGGCCGTATGATATACCGGAAGCCAACATGTCTGTCACTAACCGTTCTATCTCTCCCTTCTGAATTTGCAGAAATCGGTAAGGCCGAACATTGGGCGGATTGGTGCCCTCCTTCAGAATGATCCTATGATCCCGTGATAAACTCCAAGCCAAATTACCACAAGAAATGGCAAATCGAAAGTGAATTACTAACAGGAAGCTTGATTATTACTAATGATAGAAATTGGATACATGAAAGGTATGAGGATATTCGAGAGATCCCTTGCTCTCCCTGACTATCTTCTTGCAGAAGTTTTACAAACTGAATAATGCTCACCTATTCTATCTCTGTCTTATTTATACACACTATCCCATAATCCCTCATCAATCCCAAAGCCTAACTAACTATCAACTGCTTAACTACTTGCTGACTTGCTGACTTAGCCCTCCCTTCTACTTGCTGACTTGCTGACTCAGCCTTCCCCTCTGGCCTTTCACCGAGTAAACCCTTGCGCTTCCTTCGAGCATATGTGTAACGCACGGAAGGCTTATCATCCCGTCCCCGGTGTGGTGGCAGCCCCGTGGGGTTATCAAACACCTCCTCGAAACTGTCCACCACCATCCGCACCTCCTCCGGTACCACTCTGTGCTCCTCTTCCGGCCGTTGCATCGAGAGTTCACAAACTTCAACCAGCACCCCTGCTCCGGCCGGCGACAGTGTCCTAACCAAGGAGCTCATCTTGATCGGTGCATAACACAAACTGGGTCACCTCGCCAAACCACCCAAGTTGGCCTTGCTCGGAATTTCATTAAGAACTTAGACCAATCATCCCGTACCTCACCTAGGGTGCTGAGCCACGACACCCCTAAGACCAAATCAGCCCCACCCAACTCGAAGGAAAAGAAATCCTCCACCACCAAGTGACCTTGGATCCAGACACTAACTTCCCAACAAATACCCGATTGCTTGACGCTCAACCATTGCCTACCAAAATATTGTGACTTACCATGGAGTCCATTGGCAAGTGCAGCTCGCGTACCACCTTTTCCGAGATGAAGTTGTGGGTGGCGCCGCTGTCCATCAGCACCACGACCTCCCGGCCACCGATCCGTTCCCGGAGTTTCATAGTGTTGGAGGAGGACACCCCCCGCATCAAGTTTAAGGACAGATCCACCTTTGCGTTCGAGACCTCCTTTCCTTTGTCCTCCACCGCCAGCGGCTCCTGGCCATCCTAACTGTCCTCCCCTGATTCGTCTCCGTCATCCGCCAGAATGAGAACCTGTAACTGCCGGTTCTTGCATCGGTGTCCCGGGCTGAACTTCTCGTCGCATTTGAAGCAGAGCCCTCAGGCCCTCCGATGCTGGATCTCTTCCTCAGTGAGCTGCCGGTACGCCGCCACCTCACCGGAATGGGGATTCGACCCTATTCCACTACCCAACCGAGCTCCCTGCCCTAACGCCGCCTCATGCTGACGTTTGGATCGAAGGGGGCCCTCTGGTGGGAAGGAACCTGTGCTTAGGCCTTCAGAAGCTACCCCAAAATGCCCTAAATACTCGGCTCTGGGCCATCCACAGCTTCATTGCGGTTCTCCACCTGCTGGGCCAGATCCATCATCTCGTGCAAGCCATTGGGCCGGTGCATTTTCAGTTCAGCCCGAATATCCTCCCTGAGCCCATGAAGGAAAGCCCCTTTGAATATGGCTTCAGGGACTCCCTGCATCTGTGCCGCCGTTGATTCTAACTCGTCCCGATAGTCCGCCACCGAGGTGCGCTGCCTGAGAGGCATCAGTTGCTCCACCGGGTCGACTTCCCTGGCACGACCGAAACGACGCAGCACAGCTGCGCGAAGTTCACGCCAAGATTTGAATGGTTCTTGCACGTCTGCCCATTGGAACCATCCCAAAACTTTCCCCTCCATGCATACCGAAGCCACCACCACCTTCTCTTCCACCTCCACGTCGTTCACAGCAAAGTACCGGTCAGCCCTAAACACCCATCCTTGGGGGTATTCTCCCTGGAGTAATGGCATCTCTAGCCTCCGTCCCCAGTGTTTGGCTCGTCCTCTCAGAAGCGGTGGCGTCTTCTGCCGGTATTCCCGCTCGTATTGCCGGGGTTCTTCATTGCGCGGAGGCAGAGGCGGCGACATTGGCCAAATGTTTGGGCCCGGCCAACAAAGGTCGGGGAATCGCTGCTGGCCAGCGTCGAACCGTGGCGGAGGGTGTGGGTTTCGCTGGAGCAGAAGATTCTCCAGCGGTCATACCAATCCCTGTACCTTTCCCATCTGGACGCCAATCTCAGCCATGTCTTCTTGGAGTTTAGGGAGAGGCTCTGTCATAGCTTCCACAATCTGTAGCGCCTCGTAAAACGTATCCATTCGCTGTTCGAGCCGAGACATCTCCTCCGCCGGTGGCCGTTTGCTGGAAGCGTCCGCCATGGATCAACCGCTCGATACCAAATTGTTAGGTTCCTGCACTCTCGGGTAATGCCACAGTAGAGTAACCAGAGAAATTGCTTGAAAATGGATCAAGTTCCTTTTATTAATCTCACTAATGTTCCTTGAGTGAAGGATTCCTTTCTCAGGGAAGATATAGAAGGAAATAGAAAAGGAAAAGAACAAGTGGGGAATTCGAGGTTCCCCTGCCTCTAATGGTCTGCTAACAGAAATGACTCAATTCACAGACACCTCTCTCACCCCTCCTCTAGTGTCTAAATACCTCCTTGCTAACAACTCGTAACTAACTTGACACATCAGCACCAATTTTCCATATTTCCACTTCCCTCCCCTGTTTCCTGCGATTTCCCCCACGGCCCCTCTTCCTAGCATAGACTAACGTAATAGGAGGCCTAACAGGTGCTTAGCACTTTTTGTGGTTGTCCGCTTTTCTTTAATTATGTCAGTGCTTAGAAGGGAACATATTTGTATTGAAGCATCTTGTCTACTTTTATTATATGCTGTTCCTATTTTCTAGTGTTGAGTTACTGAATACTTTTAGGCCAGATGAAGTATAATACTTTTGTCACTCATAAACTTAGTGTAGTTGGGATCTCCAGTTTTTTTTTTTTGAAAGATCTAGATGCATAGTTTTTTCATTGGTGTAAATTATTTCAGGTGGATGCAGTCCAGGCTTGTGGTGGTCAGATGACTGCAGATGGCAGACGATTTCGAACAGGCGGTGGCATATTATGGAGCATCGTCAAAGCGCGAGAACCAAAAGCGTACAAAGAGATGATGAATAAAGCAAAGGAATTTGAGGTGCATGAATAAACTTGCTTTATCTAGTCTGATGAATTGTATGTGCGTATCTAGGGGCATGGATTACTATGTTCTTGTCTGTACTGTTCTTTTGTCGTTGTTTTGCTACTGAAAAATGTTCGGGTAATGCTTATATCCATGTGATACAGTGACGGCATTTAGGCTGTATTGGTGAAAAAAATAAAATGTGGAAATAGTTAATTGAATTGTGATCAATGAGAATGCCTCTCACTTTCTGCTGGTTTATAGATTCGTTAAAGATAACTTGCGTTCTTTAGGAGTTAGCTTCTCGTCTGAAAATCAAGTTATATGATGCCACAAGTTAAATGGTTGCTTTCTTTCTGATATGATTTCATTTCCCTTATAGTTTCTGTTTTCTGAATTTATTTATCCTTCCGCAGAAGCAATTTAAGCTACCATATTCGAAGCAAGCAAGAAGGCAAAGAAAAGATGGCTCGTCTGAAAACGTTACTGATGCACCCATGAACGGAACAACATCCAATGTTTCAAATGCTCTACAAGTCCAGTCGGAAGTGCAGAATCAAAACGAGCAGTCAAACGATGAAGAGAATCGAGTGTCTGTCGGTGATAGGTTAAGGATACCTGTTTCTTATGATGATGACCTGCTTGGAGGTGATCCGAAAGATGATACAGCTTGATTCTCAAAACAAATTATTATTAATGTTTGGAGTTTTTCTAGCATTGATTTCGCTCAAGAGGGCCGAGAATAAAGAGAATTGTTATTATTGTTATTATTTTTCGTGTAAGCAACTATTGTAAGAGTTTCTGAGTGTATCAATGCTATAAAATTTTGTTTGAAGAGAAATTATTCTTTTTTGGTCCTTTGTGAGTCGTTTTTAATATTTGTTCGTGAATGTTATGTCATTCAGATTAATATAAGAAATATAAAGGAAATCTAACTTTTAGTCAAATAACAATAAGTTATGTAATATAAACACTAAACAATGTTTTACAATAATATTAACAAACTTATTACAAATATAATTATAATTATATAAAACAGTGACTATATATATTAATAACTTAATATAAACACTTAACAAAGCATAGTAATATAATACATAAAATTTTAAAAACATTCAGAAGTAACATGAAAGAATTAAGAAAAAAATACCTTAGAAGAAAGACAATTCTCTGAAACAACTCTTTCCTAAAGAGTGACTGCAACAATTCAAGAGAAGAAAAATGTGAAAATACTGAAGAAAATATTGAGAAACTAAAAACAAAAACTTATTTAAAATAGTCAATTGCAACAGAGATTGTAGTAGTGACAAATTAAGGAGAACATAGAATGTGAAAAAATAAGAAGGATAAAATATCAAAAATCTTATTTAAAATAGTCAATTGCATAAATAATAGTTTTAAAAAATAGATGAGGAAATTAAATAGATAAATATAAACAATTTGGTTCAGGTATTTGTCTTTAATTGCTAACATCATGCATTAGAAGTAACTAGAATAAGATTTAACAATGCCCTTCAGTGCCAACTGAATTATTAAAAAGATTTATGAAGATTAAGAAAGGAAAAAGAAATGAAAAAAAAAAACGACATAAAAATAACTTAAATTGGCAAACCAACAATAGAGACGGTAGTAAAGAAATATAATGAAAACCCTTTAGTAAAATCAGATGAAGAACAAATCGTTTTAAGAGTAGAAAATGATAATAAAGATAGTATACTGTTGACAAAACTAAATAAATAAAAGAATATAAATCTTAAATAATCCGGGCAATGTCAAGGCTTGCTAATTCATTATAAATAGTTATTTAATACATGGTAACAATAAAAGAAAAATACTACATTACCAAATGAGAAATCATGTTAGATATAGAACAGAGTGTTGACAAATTAATATAATAAATAGAATTAGTACAAATATAATCATAATAACATAAAATAATGAACACATATATTTACAATTCAATATATACAGTAACAAAAGCATAATAATATAATAGATACAATTTTAAGAACAATTAGAAATAATATGGAAGAAGTAAGAGAAGAGTGCCTTAGAATAATGATGAAAGTGGATAGAGTTGATGCAGGAGGAGTAAAAAAACTCCAAAACAGAGATAACAGAAAAGGGAAAGAAAAAAACTAACTATTGAAAATTGAAGAAAAGAAAAGAAACAGAGAGGATAGACGATAAGTGTATCACAACAAAAACAGAAACAAAGCAGAAGACAATGAACGTGAAAGGGAAAACAATATATTTATAGGGAAAAAATAAACTATCGAGTATGTGGCGGTGGTAAATACTGGAAATAAATCTTAACATCACCGTTGTTACGCTGTAAACAAAACGTAATAATTTATTAAAAACAGGTGTTACGTTGCATGATAATTACCGTGGAACAGAACGAATAACCTACAGAGAGTTAAAAAAACTTAATAATTTGTTAAAACAGGTGTTACGCTGCATGATAACTACCGTGGAACAGAACGAAGAACCTGCAGAGAGTTAAAAAAAAATGTAATAATTTGTTAAAAACAGGTGTTATGCTGCATGATAATTACCGTTGAATAGAATGAAAAACCTGTAGACAGTGAAAAAGAATAACTCGTTAAAAGGAGTTACCCCGCACTAAAAATAAATGTCTAAATATTCTCGACTAATATAACCTGCAAACAAATATAAAAACATGTAATAATTAGTAAAAACAGGTGTTAGACAACGTAATAACCAATAAACGAATAAAAATTGACGAAAATAGAAAAAAAGAAAAAATTAAAACTTGATTATTTCGAAGACCTAATGAAGAAATAACCAAAAAAAAAAAAAAAAAAAAAAGCTAAATCTAAAAAAAATACTAACAGATCTAGAAAAATGAAAAAAAAAAAAATAAAAAACACATAACAAAATGAAGCAAAAACACGTATAGATATGAAAGAATGAAAAAGAAAAACCGAATAGGAAAAACGGGAAAAAAATGAAGTCAAATCTACAAAAACACTAACAGGTCTCAAAATATATATGGAGGAAAAAAGCAAATAAAAAAATAAAAACAAAGCCAGATCTAAATAAAGAAAAACGAAAAACAAAACTACAAAACAAAATAAACACTAAAAATGATTCCCAGAAGCCTTATGAAAAGAAAGAAAGAAGAGAAAAAAAAATCATAAAACAGGAGAAAAAAATCAAAATGAACCCAACGAAAACCTTAACCCATTTGTGAAAAAAATATTAAAAAAAAAAAATTGAAAATAACCCCACAAAAAATGCAAGGAAACCCAGAAACATAAAATTTAAAAAAAATTAAAAACAGGGAACAAAAGAAAGTAAAAACACATCCAGATCTAATAAACAAAAAAGAAAAACCTAATAAAAAATGAAAAAAAGGAAGCCAAATCTACAAAAATAATAACAAATCTGGAAAAATAAACGGGATGATCTAAAAAAATAGACCGAAAAAAATGAATCAAAAAATAAAAAAAAATGAAGCCAAATCTAAAAAAAAAAACTGAAAAACAAAACTACAAAACAAAACAAACATTAACAATGATTCCCAGAAGTCTTACGAATAGAAAGAAAGAACGAAAAGAAAAAAATGCATAAAACAGAGAAAAGAAACCAAAATGAAACCCACAAAAATCTTAACCCATTTGTCAAAAAAAAATCCTGATATTAACCCTATGAAAAGTGCAACAAAACCCAGAAACATAAAATGGGAAAAAAAACTTAGAACCAAAATACAATAAACCAGAGAAAACCACAAAGAAAATGAAGAGAACTTGTGAAGAGGAAACGAAGAAGAAGAGCCTCGGTAAAAGAGACATTAGATGCAGGTGTAGAACAAAAAATGAAAGAAGTAAGAAGCTTCTCGAGAAAACTAAACAAAAACCACCGCACAAGAAACGAAGGAAATGAGCCTCGATAAAAGAGACATTAGATGTAGGAAACAAATGAAAGAAGCAAGAAGCTTCTCGAGAAGACTAAACAAAACCCCGCAACAAATGACAAAAATGCCCAGCAGAAAAACACGGGAAGGAAAACAATTTGAGGACAAAATAATTAAAATAAATTGTGGTCCCACCACTCTGCACACTCTCTCTCTGTAGAAACCGGGCCCCACCACTCAAACATCTCACATGCACTTTCCCTCTCTGCATAAATTTACCAAACACCCAAAACAACATCAACCGCAACAAATTAAAACCGAGGATAAAATCATACAATCACAACAAATTTTAGGACACAATCGGAATTGTTCTAAAAAATAAGAATAAGAAGGACCGGGCACTGTTCTAAGAATAATAACCCGGGTGCCTCCTTTTGTAGTATGTATAATAACTAGTCGGTAACCTGGGCCTTGCTATGGGTAGTATTTTTATATTATACAAAAAAAAGTAGTTTATATGTACATATGTATATGCATAAGTATTTATAATGAAGTAACAAATATTTCTTTACATTCTGTTCCAACATACAAAAACAAAAGTAGTTTATATATACATATGTATATACATAAGTATATATAATGAAGTAACAAAGATTTCTTCACATTCTGTTCCAGCTTGTTTTATCAATTTTTGGCGGTGTGTTTTTAGCTGGAAGAAGTAAATTTTTAACAAATTAGTATTAATAATTGAAGAAATTATAAATGTTTTGATTTAGGAGTAGTTACATTACTTGGTTATTGGGCGTTTTCTAGGCTGCTCAGTTTGTTTTGCTTAAGAACTAAAATGGCAGAAATATCTTAAGTTATATACTTGAAATTATAAGTATTGTTTTTCATTTATAAATAATGTAAATTAGTAAGTATATCTAACATTGCGTTTGATTTTTTTGGGTCTGGTGTTTGTGGGTGAATTGATGTTGGTCCTGGTGTTCTTGTTTCTGGGCGAACACTAAAATTATAGAATATTGCTTTTATATATGTGTTTAAAGTAGTAAGTACTATTTCTTTATTTATAATTGGTATAAATTAATAAATATTTTTTTACCTTGGCTGTGGCGGCATGGTAGTTGATATTTGTGGTGACGGTGTTGTGGGCTGTGTATCTTCAAATATTTTTGAAAATATTGCATTTATCCGTGTTCCTTTTTCTTGAAAATATACTTGGAAAATCTTTGTCTGTCCTTTTAGTTGATTAACGATTGGTGAAATTGTCAGTGGATCAGTGAAGCCTTCATCAATTGTTAGTGCAGAGCATGGTTTTTTGATGAGAGCATGTGCTGCTTTGCCAAATATAGTAATACTCATGTTTCCAGTTTCATCTTCGATTTGTGTGATGAGTTTGTACCTGTAATTTATGAAATAATAGTAGATTAATGTAATAAATTATTTACTATAGTCAATAAATGTAAATGGATGTTAGCTGTAGTATATTTAAAATTTTTGTTACCATGGGGATGGTATTGTTTTTATGTGACTGTGGGTGTCACAGTACCAACCAATTCTTACTTGCTTTAGATGTCGATAGCATCTTGGACAGAAATTATAATACCATGCTTGTTCAGCTGAAAATCCGGCTATAGTAGCTTTTACTGTAAATTTTGTGCCCTATATTGAACAGGAGAAGTTGTTGGTTTAAATAGTATAATTAGAAAGAGAAAAAGATAAGGAATATCATAATGCTAACCTGATTGCCTCGTTGGTCCAGTGTGTATTTAGTTCTTTAATTGTTCTTCTATTTTATGTTTTTTGTTCTTCAATGGATTGAGCTGGTGTTGATGGTGTTGTTTTGTGTTACCTTATTTTTAATGTTCTTGTCTCTAGTATATTTGGATTGATGTAGAAGATTGTGGCTGTGGTGCTGGATACATATGCATTTCCTAAGATATTGGCAATGAATTAATTAATATCTTAGTGTGCTTTGGTATAAGTGTTTTATTTATATATGTCATTATATATAAAAAAAAATGTTAAGAAAATACCTAGATATTGCTTGACTAACACTGTTGCAAAGACTGCTACAACTGGTCCTTTTATTGATTTAAGGACATTTTCATCAAATTGATATGCTTTATGTCCCCATTAAGTAACTTGCATATGTTCATTTCTATTGGGAAAAGAAAATTAAAAAAGAAAAATTAGGATGGAATATTTTGATTGTTATAGAAATTTTGTGCTCTTAATGAATATAAATTTTTGTTATGTGATTATGATGAAATTTGCATAGATTTACCTTATATTTTTGTACTATTATTATGCGTCGTGATGTTAGCCTGTTGTTAATATTTGTTTGCTCAATACTCTGCACCTTTGTTACAATGTCAATGACATATGTTGATAGATAAATAGATAACGTTAAGAATATAAATTAATGGATTAGTAATGTATATTTTTGTTTTGAGGAAAAAGTGATTAATGTTACCTGATAAAATTTTGATTGTCTCGATCCTGTGCTGAAGCTGGTCAAATTCTATGAAGTAGAATTTGTGGAAAGGGATGGGAAGTGCTTCTTCTGCAATTGGGACAAAAGCTGTTGCACGTGCAAATTGTAGCATTGCATTATGTGGTACAATTTTGTATGTTGGTTTGTTCTGGGCAACGAAGAAGTTACTAATGTCATATATTGCTTCCAGTTGAATTTTTTGAGAAATAACATATGAGTCACGTGCTCGGATTGATGTTTGGATTGCTTAATGCTGCAAATGAAAAAGATGTTATTATTATAAACTTTGTTATATATAATATCAAATAAAAGATAATATACTATAATGTTTGTAAAGTTATTACCTCTTCATCGACTAAGAAACAATCAAGACTTATTAGACGTCTTGTGGTCAAGTCGTTGTTTGTCCATAATCTGCAGATTCTTGCCCTAATTGTTTCATAAACTTCATTTGGTCTTAATGCACAAATTGGTGTATTGCCTAGTCATTGACTGGAGAAAAGAGATTATTCTGGATGAGTAATTTTATTAAATATGTTTTTAATTTAGTGGAATAAAAAAATATTGATGACGTGAAATTGTTAGTATAATGTTGCATGTATTTTTGAGTTAGTATATTAATAGTGTATACGTTCTTATGGAGTATTTTACATTTTTATAGGATAATATGTAGAATTTTTTTTATAGACAATGTTTCTTACATAATTTGGATATTTATTAGTTGAATCATGGATTAATATGTGTAATTCGTTTGGGTTTGTAGTTCTTGATAAAGCAACATATAATTTTCCATGAGTAAAATTTTGAGTTTCTAAGTATAATTCAATTTTTCTTAATGATTATCTTTGGCTTTTGTTTATTGTCATTGCATAGCATACTTTTACGAGAAATTGTCGCTTTTTTAATGTAAATGGCAACTTTAATATAGGAGAAGAAATTACGATTTTGATTGTGATTTTCAGGTCTTGAGGGAGGAAATGATTCAAGAACTTGTTGTTGAGATTGAAAATGTGCTAGCATTGCATCAAGTGGAGACCGCGATGGTCTTGTTGACGCAGGTGGAAGAATTTGATCCATTTGGTTTTGATGGTTGTTAATTGTATCGATAAAATCTTCACTTATTTGAGAAAGGATATGGCACATGCGTTGATTTTAGTGCAATAATCTTTTTTGAATTTTTTTTTCCTATCCATCTGCTTCTACAACATGGAAGCATTCAAGGGATAAGGAAAAAAAGAGAAGTCAAATAAATTAGTTTATCTCTTATTAACTACAATATGTTAGAATTGGTTATAAATGATGGAATAAATAATTTTATTATTATTGATTAACTAAGTTATATAATTGCAAATGTAATTTATTCTAAATGAAATAATTTAACAAAGTGTATAATATGTACGATTGAATATTTACAATGTATATAAAAGTTACTAATAAGATGGTGGCAATATATTAAGTAGACACATAATGAAATGAGTTAACTAATAAAAAAAAGAAATTCAATTTTGCAGCTTTATATGTTTCACATAGATCGAATAACATTTGTATTTGCATCCTTATATGTTTAGGATAAACTAAATAATATTAAAATATTTATAAAGATAAAGAGTTAAAATTTACACTGCCATATAATATTACATATAACATTAAATAATATAATAGCAATAGTAGATAAATTAAATTTATCAACAAATACAACATAAATGAAAAAATTGGCATGTGCATCTGCTTTTTCTAAGCTTCTTCCTTTAGAGATGAACAAACAAAAATTTTCTGTAATAAGATTTCATTGCACAAATTTTCAGTAAGATAAAGAGCATGTAACGCCCCCATAGGCTAAATCGGTCTAAGGCCGAATTTAGCAAGGTGGTGCTACTTAAAACATACTTTCTATACTTAAAACAATATCATTTTTTTAAGATGCGGAAACTTGTGGTTGATTTCATCACAAAATTTTCTTAAAAGTGTTTGAACAAAATGAGTAAGTGTGCAACCACAAATCTTAAACATTAAATAGTTATTCAAAAGCGACATAGTAACAAAACAAAAACATTTTGAGCCCATCTAGTGTTTGGAAGTACATATAAGCAAGATGCCAGATGTAAGACTTGGAGTACTCAGCCAACCTTGGAAATCATATTTCTTTTTACTCTTCGGTAACAACAACATCATCTGCATCACAAGGTAAAACTAATGAGCAAAAACTCAGTAAGTAGATTTCAAATCAAGTAAGTATCTAAAATCTCTGTGACTAAAATCTCTTTGTTAATCATTGTTCATAAACTTTCATACCTATTCTTAGTTTAGGTATGATACAGAACTTCGGTTCCAAGTAAGCCTCTCTATACAGGACCTTCTCTAATTTTTGCCAATTCTCTTCTCTTAAACACTAAGCGGGGTTTTTAGAATCTCTTTCTCTTGTGATCAACAAGAAACTTTCCACTAGCATTTTTCTCTAGTTGTCTCAAAGAGACAGTTTCTCTAATTTGGGGTACCGGTCCCTCGCACCTCTGCTTACCCAGCCTCTCATCCATATACCATACCATAAAATCTCTTAAAACATAAAAACATAATAAGCAGATATCATAATCTCTTTCAAAATAATTAATCATGA